CGAGGGTTTGGATCCCATATAGAGACCAGTCCGCTCACTGGTTGAGCTCGGTGCGGGCACGACACCGAGGGTTGTGATCCTGTTGCCGGTCGCGGTACGGGCGCGACACCGAGGGTTGCGATCCCGTTACTGGTCACGAAAAAAGACAAAAAGGGGAAAAAAAAAAAAAGATAATGTAAATCTTTCCGTGAACTTATTGAAGTACCTTTGTATATGCACCATGACCGAAAGAGCCCATGAATTCAGAAATCTTAAAACAATATTTTTTAGCTTTATACAAAATTATAATGAATGAAGAAAAATTTAACCATCTCCCTCTCCCCTCTCCCAGGTAAGCAGTATTAACAGTTTGGAGCAAATAATTTCTCATCTTTCTCTAAGCTCTTATAAATGTATCACCACTTTACGATGATTCTTTCATTTCATCAGTCCCAATGGCTGTTCCATAGATTGGAAAAAAGTTAATGTTTTTATTTGTAAGACATTTGTCCTAGCCACAGAAAAGGCTTGGAAAAGGAGTGGCCAGGGCCCCCACTGCCAGGCTTCCTGGCTAGGAATCATCTGTCCAGCAGGAGACTTACTTTTCTGGTCCAGCTACAAGCTGCACCAAGGCTGTGGAGCGGAAAGATTGGCAGCCTTTGTCAGCTTCAAAATAAGCGCTGCCCCAGCTGTGTGTGTGTGTGTGTATGTGTGTGTGTGTGTACGTGTGTGTGTGTGTGTGTGTGTTGGGGGTACAGTTCCAATCTGGCAGGACTTGTCCCCCTACTTTGAGCCACAGTCCACATGTGCCAAGCACAGAATCATATTCATTGATTCATTCATTCTCATAGTACCCTGTGGAGGTGGGCAGGGCAAGTGCTGGATGAGTGAATGCATCTTGCAGTGCCTTTTACACCCCCATCTGCCAAATCAGCCCTGGAGATAAGACTGGCCAGTTCACCTCCTCCTCTGTAGAGTCTGCTCAGACCGCCGGGGACAGAGTTAAGGCTTGTTCACCTGGGCTTTCTCAGAGACCCCTGGTGGGAATTGTGTTCTGAGGCCCATTTATTCTAATGGAATGTGACCTCCTTAAGGACAAGGCTTATTTGTCTTTGGCTCTTCATTTGTGGGATCTGGGAGGGGACACAAGCCACATGCAACACTGCTGAAGAGGGGAGGACAGTGAGTGCAGCCTTTTCGTCAGAGGGGACAGAACTTGTAAAGAAAGAACAGAGTGAAAGTGTGTTCAGGGAAGAGCACACCTGGGGAGTGGGATGTATAGGTAGGGGGGACAAGAGGGGAGGCTGACAAGATAGGTTGGGTTGTCAAGGGCTTTGGGCATCAGGCAAGGTGGGTGTGGGTGTGATCTTCTTGGCAAGAGGCTACGGTTGTGTTATCCAAGTATGTGGCCCTCTTAAAAGGGGGCATAGTGTAGGCAGGGAGGCTGGAGGTGGGGCTGCCTCTCCTGGTCTCATGAGGCCCTGTAGAGTGTCAAGATGCCGACCGGGCAGCTGGAGTCTCTGTAGAAGAGACCAGGTTTACCCAGCTGACTCTGATAGCATTTCACACTCTGGAGTTGCCACAGGATTCCCTGGCCCTCTTCCCAGAAATGTGGGTCACCAGCCTGGGGAAGCAGGACATCTGAGCAGATGGAATTGCTGGGGCTTGCCTGTGTGTTCCCCTGAACTCCTCTGTCTTACAGTTTCTATTCCAAGGACAATGAAGGCAGCTGGTTCCGTTCCCTCTTTGTCCACAAGGTGGATCCCCGGAAGGATGCCCATTCCACCTTGCTATCCAAAAAAGAGACCAGCAACCTCTACAAGATCCAGTGTGAGTGGCTGCTAAGCTGGCCAACCCTGCCCTCTCACAGCTCTGGGGGCCTGTGTGCTCCAGCATGGAGATGAGAGGGTCTGGGATATCCTGCACTGCCCTGGGAGCCCTGGCCCTGATGGGCTCCTCCACCCCAGACCGCTTCCCACCACACACACACCCTGCTTCACCTCCTGCCCTCTGACCTCTGTTGCAGTTCACAATGTGAAGCCTGAGTATCTGGATGCCTACAACAGCCTGACGTGAGTATATTCTTTCATTCCCCTGTCCCAGCCCCTACTTGGGTGGGGGACTCCATCCCAGCAAGCCTCAGAACATCTTCTGCGCCATTCTCCTTGCAGAAATCCAGGGGATGTAGATTTCAGAGCTGGAAGTCCTAAGGATGTCTTGTCTAGCCTCTGCATCTTAGAGATGGGGAGACTGAGGCCCAGCCTGGGGGCCTGAGTTGGAATCCTTATCTCAGGGGCCCTAGTGGCTGATGGGAGCCCTGCCCTCTCTCTGTGCTCCTCCCACAGGGAGGCTGTGCTACCCAAGCTGCACCTGGATGAGGACTACCCCTGCTCGCTTGTAGGCAACTGGAACACATGGTATGGGGAGCAGGACCAGGCAGGTGAGGTGCCTACCTCCCCAGCACCACTGTGGCTGTGCAGCCCAGGCATCCATCACCTCTCACACCTGGCTGCCCTCCACACCCTCTCTCCAACAGCAGCTGGGGCAGGGAGGATCTTTCTAAATGCAAACCTCATTTCCTCACTCCCCTGCTCAAATACCTGCTGTGGTTCCCCTCTACCCTTGGGGTGGCTCATGAGGCCTGTGAGTCCTTCCCTGCCGAGCTTCCAGCCTCATTTTGCCACATCGTCCTTGCTCCCTGCGTTGTCCTATCCAGGACTTCTTTCAGTTCCTCATATCAACAAGTTTTGCTCTCTAGCTTTAATGCTTTCTCTACCTGAAGCATTCTTTTTCCCTTGCCTGCCTTAATAAAGTGAGCAAGGGAGATGCCACCCCATCTTTTATTCAATCTTTTATTTTGCTGTAGACATCACTTCCTCCTGGAGGCCTCCCCAGATTCTCTCCACCCAGGCTGGGTCAGGCACTTCCCTTGGCTTCTTACCCCCCAATACTTGCTTCTTCACGTCCTGATCATGCACCCCTATAGCTGCCTGTATTCTTGTCTGTCTCCCCATATAGGTGAGAAGTTCTGGGGGGGCAGGGCCCATGGCCATCTTCACCATGGAATCCCCAGTATATAGCACATATTTGTGAGTTAAACGAGGGCTCTTGTCTAATCTGGTTCCTTACAGCTTCCCAGGGGCACCCCAGCACACTCCATCTTATGCCAGCATACCCACCAAAGTTGGCACAAGCTGCTAGGACCCACACATGAATTTGGTTGACTCAGCATCTCAGCCACTCATAGGGGTCTTGGATATTTAGATTTTAAATTAATTAATTTAAATTTACATTTAGATTAGTTGGGGCCGGCCCGTGGCTCACTTGGGAGAGTGTGGTGCTGATAACACCAAAGCCATGGGTTCATATCCCATATAGTGATGGCCGGTTAGCTCACTGGGTGAGCATGGTGGTGACAACACCAAGTCAAGGGTTAAGATCCCCTTACTGGTCATCTTTAAAAAAAAAAAAATGTAGATTAGTTAAGGGGGCTGGCCAGTTAGCTCAGTTGATTAGAGCATGGTGTTTTAACACCAGAGTCAAGGGTTTGGATCCCCATACTGGCCAGCTGCCAGAAACAAACAAACAGATAAATTTAGATTAGTCAAAATGAAATAAAATTAAAAATTCTGTCCCTCAATCACATTGGCCACATTTCAAGTGCCCACTAGTGTCTGCGTGTGGCTCGTGGCTACCATCTTGGACGGCACAGCTATAGAACATTTCCACTGTAGCAGAAAATCCTTTTGGACAGTGCTGGTTTAGACCATGTGCGTAGCACAGCTCTGACAGACAGGGCTCTCAACTTCTCCTGCATACTCCCATCAATGGGGAGCACACTACCTCATAAGACAACTTAACGTATCTTTTGACAGCCCTGATAATTGTGTGTCTTTAAGAAAATCTGTGACCTACAGAGAGAGAGAGAGATCTTAATCATTTATTCTGTGTCAGTAACAAGCATTGACATATTGATAAGGGAATAAGAGAAAAGCAAATTGCCTTCAGTTTCAGCCACTACAGTTTTCCCATTTTAGGCACGACTCGATCAGTTCCAGCAGTACTCCTTGGATTCTTTTAAGTATTTGCTAGTTGTGAAATTAAGTTTGAGAGATGGGATCCGGACTTTTTTTTTTTTTTTTTTAAAGATGACTGGTAAGGGGATCTTAACCCTCTACTTGGTGTTGTCAGCACCACGCTCAGCCAGTGAGCAACCGGCCATCCCTATATGGGATCC